AAAGACCGTGTCCTGTCTTTTTTCACACTACACCTTGTTTTTTTGTGAATGAGTAGCGGCACCATGTACCCCAGGGATATGGGGGAAGAGGCCCTTGTCCCCCCATGTTGAAGACATGTGGCCTGGTTTTTTTTTTTTTTTTTTTTTTTTTACTTTGGCTTGGGAGTTTACCTCAAAATCCATACCAGATCCAAAGGCTTGGTTTTGAATGGGAGGGGGGACCCCACTCCGTGTTTTTTTTTTTTTTTTTTTTTTTTTTTTTTTTTTTAATTTGTTATGGTGCTGGTTTTTAAATGTAATTAACGCTTTTTTTTTTTTTTTTTTTTTTTTTTTCTTCACTATAGCTCAGAGATTCAGCTGTCACTCCACCCCCCCCCCCCCCCCCAGCTAAAAAGTTTCCTTTTTAGCTTATTTCCCCAAGTTAAAAGAAACAAGGTTTCCTTTTAGTTTCTTAAAAGAAACAAAGTTTCTGTTAACGCCGGGGAAAGCGACAGCTAATTCTTTGAGCTATAGCGAAGAGAAAAAAAAAAAAGCCAGCAATTGCATTTAAAAATCGGCACTGACATACACTTCGTATTGCAAAAAAATTTGTAAACCGAGGCATTATTTTCAATGGATTTAAATTCATAAACTGAAAATTACGTTAACCTAGGCGTTTGTAATCTAGGTAAACCTGTATTTTGAATTGTTTATAGGACTCATATACACCAATTGGAGTTATTATTCCAGTAATTTTTTTTTTCTTTCTTTACATTGTATATTATTTGGGATTTATGTCACAGATATTGCGTTTGGCTACATGATTTCACCTTATGAGTATATTCGGGTACAAGTAGGAAGTAGCACCACTGTTGCACTTTTGGAATGGCAGCTGAGTTAATTATATCACTGTTATCCATTTAGCACAGATATATTTTTGTATAATATGGCTAAGTTCTTTGAGGACTCTTGGGTGAAAGCCATCTGTTCCTGGTGATTTTTTTCTTAAGTCTTTTTATAACACGGGCTTCTTTTAACCACAAAGGTACATTCTGTGTGGTGTTCTAAAAATACAGTCATGTTTATTATACCCCTCCATTTCCATAGTTGAAAAAAAAAAAAATCCGCACAAGGGATGTTTCTTACTGTAAATCCAAAGTGTCCCTTGTGCTGTTGGCTCCTGCATTCTTCCTTGATATCTTTCTCCTCGGATGCCCCGTACCGCGCTGCCATAGGTGGGGGTTAATAGAGCAGAGGTTGCTGTAAAAGGTACTCCGCAAAAGTACTCCACTATACCTGTCCTTTTTGGCCCACCTCCTCCATTCATAGAAGCTGTGCTATCGCTTCTATGTATGAAACACCCACCCACATGGGATGCTGAGGCTTCATGATTAAAAGAAATATAATCCAGTGAATTTAAAAGATTGGGCCAGGGAAAGTCAGGTTGGGGAGGATAGGGCTAGATGATGCTGGATGCCCTCCAAACTGTAAATAAGGCAAGCTGTATCTGACTTCCTGCAGCTTCTAATGCACATTGTGATGGTAAGAGAGAACAGAAACAGTAGAGTAAACCACATCAGTATGGAAGAAGAGCCCGCACAATTTTGTAAGGCTTAGGATAATGCTGGACTTTGGCTTTAAAATTGAGAGACATTTATACTGAAGTAATATAGGTCTCTGGTGTCAGATTTGGATATATATATTTTTATTTTCTAGGATTTAATTTGAAAAAAAAATGTTTTGAAAAACTGCTTTCCTAAAATTTAGACCAGTGCAAATTCTAAATTGCATAGCCCCTGACCCATTGCTTTGAATTGAAGGTGACAAAGTCTCCTGACTGTATGGGTATCACATTTTCTCACACACTGTGCAATAAAAAATAACTAACATTGAAAGTTTTACATATTCATTTGGAAGACTTTTTTTTTTTCTACTTTTGACATTACATTGTAACAAACACAGTTAAAATTAATTTAATGCATAGATTAATAGTGTAGCATAGGATTAGGAATGTCCCCCCTCCGCCTCCTGGCGTTTAGTACCTCTTGAAGAGCCAGGTGGTGGTGGGAGTGGCTGCAAGGGGTTCAAGAGGATCTTCACCCTAGAAAGAAAAAATTAAAAGTCTGCAGCTACAAATACTATAGCTGTCAAGGGACTGGTGCTGTCCTCACCCAGGCCAGTTCTTCGCTGTTCTGCGGGGCCCCGGAGCTGGCATGTTTACTGTGGGTAGCTGGCCATGACACAATGCAGCTTCACAGCCCGGCTTTGCTTTTTGAATGGTCCTGCAGCCGTCTGGGACCTGTGATGTGTCCCAGAAGGCTGCTAGTCACCCGCTCCCCTCAAAACATTTTAATGTGCCAGATGTGATGGGGAAGGGAGGAGGACGTTCTAATCTAAAAGCAAGCTTAGTCCATCCGTCATTTTATGAAAGTCACATAAATACAGGTGAAACTCGAAAAATTAGAATATCGTGCAAAAGTTCATTTATTTCAGTAATGCAACTTAAAAGGTGAAACTAATATGTGAGATAGACTCATTACATGCAAATCAAGATCGTTCAAGCTGTGATTTGTCATAATTGTGAATTTGTGATGATTATGGCTTACAGCTCATGAAAACCCCAAATCCACAATCTCAGAAAATTAGAATATTGTGAAAAGGTGCAATATTCTAGGCTCAAAGTGTCCCACTCTAATCAGCTAATTAAGCCATAAGACCTGCAAAGGGTTCCTGAGCCTTTAAATGGTCTCTCAGTCTGGTTCAGTAGGAATCACAATCATGGGAAAGACTGATGACCTGACAGTTGTGCAGAAAACCATCATTGACACCCTCCATAAGGAGGGAAAACCTCAAGAGGTAATTGCAAAAGAAGTTTAAATGCACGTAATTCACAGGATTGCTGTCTATATAGGCATTAACTTTGTGTGCCTGACTGACATGCAGTGTCAAAAAAAATAAAAATAGTGTGCATTTATTTATTTTGCAGGGTCCTGCAAATCCTGTTAGGCTCCTGCAAACGCTTTCTCCAGCTTTCTGCCCTTACCTCTGTATGGGCTCTCGGTTGCAGGGCTGGAGGAGGTGTCAGTGGACTATGACTGAGCTGATTACTGCACTTGTAGCCCATTGAGGATACATGGTATGTGCAGCGGGCAGGAGTTGTACACAGGAGACAAAAGGCCTCTCTTCACTGGACTGTGTAGTAGCACTGCAGTTGAGCCCTCCTCTCTGCTGCTACAGAGATAGGAACATTAGCTTTGCCACTGTCCAATGAGGAGAGGTTCATCTTCTTGAAATCACTACAACCCACAGCCAGAGGAGTGAACAGTAAGTCGCAGAGCTGCCATGCAGCATTCTCACATACTCTCTCAGCCTCTTTGACTCTACATGCTGTTTTGGCAGGCAGTACAGAGGGGAGATCAATAGCAATGCTACTAAGCAGTCAGAGTGTATCCTCTGCACATTTTTCTTCCCAATGCTGCAACTAGTAGTCTAGCACAGTCTTTTTCAACCAGGGTGCCTTAGGTTTTCTTCAGGGGTGCCTTGGCAAAATGTTTAAAAATTGCCCAAAAATTGTATACAAGCCAGCGGGTGGTTCAAGCCTGCCTTTTAGTTACACAAAGCCAGAGGTTTTCATTGTGCAACAGTACAACCTTTTAGCCGTCAGCATCCTAACAACCAATGACATCAGTTGATAAGGAGAGTGTTGGTTGCCTGCACAGCATCCTTGTTTGACTCTCCCCTGCTCCTCTCCGTCAGCGCTGGGGTCGCATTACTTGATTGATGGAGAAAAACTGAAGGAGAAGAAAAACATTGGAATACTAGTCAGTACCAGTGTGCAAAAGTGTTTGCTTTGAAAGAATAAATCACCTCTAACGTTGGGTGTCCTACGTGTGTGGATGTTGCTGCGTTCTGTAAAACTAATACAATTGTTTTTTTACATTTTAGAATGGGTTTGTCTTGAGACTGTCCATTTTAAAAGGTGCCTCAAGACTGTCCATGAATGTACAGGGTGCCTTGATATTGTCCATAATTTTAAAGGTTGCCTTGATTGAAAAAAGGTTGAGAAACACTACTCTAGTAGCCTGCAGATCACCTTCTAATTGTGCCATCTGTAGTCATGAACTTGGTGTACTTAATGCAGAATCCATCCCTGATGGCTGTACCTATACAGAATGGCATTCACAGGTCCCAGTGCTTTACACTGCAAGCTGGAACTGGCCTACACCCAGCTTACACACCATCCAACCACATGGCTAGACATATTACCCAGGTGACACCAGTGAGCACCTCAGCTTTATCGGTTCTTCCCGCTAGTTGTAGGATGCAGGTTGTAGGTGCAATACAACACCTTACCTCAATGTTGGATTATTTTTGTAAATGATGTCACAATGTCCCACCTTTTATTCTATTCATGTCCATTTCCTTTGGTAAAAACCAGAGGCTGTGCTTTGTAGAGGAAGAACTGAAGATAGACATTTTTGACCTCACAACTCTTTTGGGTGTATCCTACAGCCTTAATTGTTTGAGTTGTAAATAGTACATGTGAGGTTGTTTACATAGGAAATACAAGTCTGAACTTTGTGATTTCTGTATTTCTGATGCCACATCAATACAGCAAAGAACCAGACAGCAGGGGGCAGGGGTTCCTAAAATTGAACTCTGTGATTCAAAATTAGGCAAGTGGTAGGCCCCATGTACACGGTGGAAACTGACTGCTGGAAAACATAGGTTAAAAAAAGGTCTGTTTAGCCGCGTTTGCATAACGTGTTTATGTGTGTTTGCGTTTAGAAGCGTTTTTTTTAAAGATAAGCACAAGAGAACCTCCGAAATGCCCAGAATGCACTGAAAAGTGGTAAATTATTAACTATTTCAGACTGTTTCAGAGAAATACAGAGAGTAGAAGCAGAGACCGCAGTATGTGTTCAAATAAGCTTAGGGGTGAGATGCTCATTAACATTTCTTTTGTTTCCAAGGGTGGGAAAGGTGAAGTGAGTCCTTAAGACCACCTGGCAGGGGGTCTTCCTGAGGAATTTGAGGTGTGAATGGTCATTAACATATCTGTTGTTTCCAAGGGTGGAAGAGGTCTCATATGTGAATTGGTCATTACAATGTGTGACAACCTTGGTAGGAACATCTTTTTTTTTTTTTTTTAGTGTTTTGTCCATCTCTGTACCTTGATAACGCTTTGCATGCATTTTCATGATGAAAAAAAGGCTCTGGACAGCATCGGGAACTGGAAGAATAAAGAAAAAATTTCAGCCGCAAACGCTTATAAATGGGATTTTACGCGTTTAGCCGCGCTTACAAGCATTTTGCGTTTGAAACGCTGATAAAATCGACTGCTGAATGCAAGTTTTCTGCATTAAAAAAAAAACGACTGTAAACTCAAATGCCTGTTAACGACTGTAAACGAAGATGTGTACATGGACACATAGGAAAACATTAGGATGAGTTCAGGGGCTGCTGAAAAAAACGCTAAACTCACGTTTAGGAGCTGTTCACTAGCTGCAGTGTACATGAGCCCCTAATCCTAACCTTCTTGCATGTAATTAAAACCTGTGAAAGCTTGCAAGAGACTGCTAGAATGTTATGCACACCATTAAGACGAAAGTCCATTAAGTTCAACAAAAACAAAAAAATAATTTTTAAAAGGAAGCTGTGGTGTTTGTTTGTTTTTTTTTTTCTTTCTTTTTTTTTAACTCGTATGTTAATTTCTGGTTGTTTTTTCATATAGGCCTGGGCAGATGCCTTTCGCAGTTCTCCAGACTTAACGGGGGTTGTCAGTGTGTATGAGGACCTCAGAAGAAAGGGACTGGAGTTTCCAATGACTGATTTAGATACTCTCTCTCCTATTCACACACCTCAGCCGGTAACGTGAATTGAACAGTGTTAACATTTTGTAAATTACTAGCGGCATGCATGCCTTTCATTTTTCCTTTTCAAAACCACCATATTTATGTACTATCATGTACTATGTCAGAAAATTTTTATAGCACTCTTTATAGAATAAATAGCATACATTGTCTCCTACTGTCCCATAGAAGCTGCCAATTGAATATATTTGGCACTATCAAACACTCACCCCCCACACACTCACACTCACACTCACACTCACACTCACACACACACACTCACACTCTCTCTCTAGAGTTGGTCATTTACCCATCCTCATTTTTTGTGCTCTTTGTTACACATAGATTATTGCCCCACATGCTGGAAATAGCTTCACAATTATTCCCTGATCATTTCCTTTCATGATTAAAAAGAGAGGGAATTTTTAACTATTCCTCAGTTAGTCTGGCAATGGTAGAACACTTGTTCTTCTATTCGTTAGTGGAATAAAATCGATGTTCGTTTTTGACAGTAGTAATGAGTAAATTCGAAGGAGCAGGATGGAAAAATGTTATTGAATGAACAAATTTCTGTGTATGTGGTTTTCATTTTGAAAATTACATTGAGTCCAAAATCAAATGGTATAAGAAAACTATTTTTTAAGTACTTTTTTTCCTCAATTCATTGAATGTGCTGAAAATTTTCATACAAATATTCATATGGTCAGCTTTAGTTCGTTTAAGTTTTACTAGTACATCAGTATGTTTTACCCCTTTTTAACCTTTTTTGCTGCCCCCCTGCTGTTACCACCACAGCTCTGTCCTATCTGCTCAGCTTCATTTGCTGCTTCACATCCCTTCGCCATGATTCCCTCCTGTGCATCGATCCCCCTATAGTGCTGCCAGTGTCTCCTCCTCCTGCCAGCTTTAGGCACAGCGTTGAGGAGCAGACTGCTGATAACTGGCAAGTCTCTTTACACTGAGATCAGCTGTGATTGGACACAGCTGATCTCAATGTAAAGGGCTGCTGTGATTGGCTCTTTACCTCGCTGTGTGATCAGCTATGTCTGAAGCATGCCCAGGGGGTGCACATGTGGGTGGGGTTCTGGGAAGACGTCAGATGCCCTCTCAGAATTGACCTTGCTGTCGCCATCATTCGACTATAGCATAATTGGCAACTGGACACACACACGTACACACACACGTACACACACACACACACACACGTACACACACACACACACGTACACACGTACATACACACACACACGTACATACACACACACACGTACATACACACACACACACACACACGTTCCTGTGAACTCAGTGAGAAAGCCATGCATTAAAGAGTTAAGTTGGTGGCCCCCATCATATTGGCTGTGCCTTAGTTGCATGGCTAAGAGCAGAGATATGCTTCTGAGATTGACTCATCACCTGGTTAAAGTTTTTAGTCTGAGTTTTCAGGCTGTTTGGAGGCCTCCTTTGCATACTAATCAGAGTAAAAATAATTTTCTTACTGTAGCATTGACCTCACTCTGTGTAAACGCCATGTTATTGAAAATGAAAAAGAAACCAACTTGTATTGTATCAAATTTTTAAGATGTATTTGGTTTTTTTTATTTGCAGTTTGAAGTATTAAGATGCTTTTTATATAAGAGATACGGAATTTGATTAGTATATGGTAAGAGATTGGGCAATTTGTAATTGTATTCATAATATCTATATACATTTTTTATGCCTTTACATAACCACAGAGTATCGCTAAGCCTGAGCCTGCTGCTCGACCAGACTGTCCACCCTTGGATACAGTACAAAGAAGTGGTTCAGTAAATCGCTCTGTGCCCTCCCCTTTGCTCACTTCAGCAGGAGGACCCACAGATAGTGCCGTCACTCCCACATCAGATCAGGTATATTATTCTCTGATAAGAGTTACTATTGGAACCTTAAAGTGTCATTTCTCTCTCTCTCATTTTACATTAACTATCCTTATGCTGCTAGAATTCTTAAATAGATAGGAAAGTATATTATATTTGTGTTTAGACTTTAGTTTTTTTTTGTGGTTTTTACATTTAGCTACTTCCTAGTTTCCGTGCCTAGGCAAATGATGTTATACATCCCAGGAGTCTTCAGGAGGGGAGGAGGGGTTTTTTCAGCTATGCACACCCTCCTGCCTGCATGTCTGCGCTAAGGGCAGATGGATTCCAGGAAGTAAATGCTACATGAGTCATCTGCCTTTACTGAAGATGCTTAAATGCTAGGGAGTATTTTTCAAAGTCAATTCTCAGCAAAATAAAGCACGGAGACATGAAGGGATGAGTGCATTTGCTTTGAATATGAATTTAATAGTGCTTTTGGTTTGTGGTGCTCAGATACAGTGTAGTTCTGCTTTAATGTACCAGTAATTGCCACTTGTGTGTCAGCATTGAATTATGTGTAATAACCCACTCATCAGTCTTAGGTAGCAACTTAACAAGCAGAACTCTAAGGTTGAGTGATTTATTGTAATATGCTGGATTGAACAGTGGTTTACAAAAACCCCATGCAATTTTCTGCTAGCCTTCTAATCTAAAGTTTGCTGCTTTAGTAATTTTTTTTATCTAATAACTCTTTACCTGGGATGAAAAGGGATTATTTTACCTCCTGACACTGGCTTGTATTTATTGATTTATGCCAGCCCCAGACGGTTTGAATCTTGGCCGTTTCGGCAAGAACCGTCAGATTCAAACCATGTATGGGCAGGCTGAATGTACCCACGTTGTACCTGGGTACAACCAGACGGGTTTTAGATGTAAAAATTGCTAGCGGTTATTATAGCCACTAGCAACTATCACTGTGTTCTCCCAGCAGGGATGGCTCCGCATGGTGCCTCCCCGCCAGGGGAACACAATGGCTCGGCGGGAGGTATTGTCTTGTCAGCACTGTCTGTGTTGATGGAGGAATCAATCCATGGTTGCAGGAAAGAAAATCGCTCCGTCTGTGACCTGCCTTAGAATAGATTATACACGTATGTAAGTAATTTTGCAGTTCATAGTGCTTGGCTGTTTTGGTTTAATGTCATTGGCCTCAATAAACAGTGACTAAAGTTTGGCACTTCAGAAGAGCTGGAAATCACAACCATGATGGTCCTTCAGGAGACTAAATCTCTGTAGTCATCAAGACCAGCATCTAGCTATATAGTTAGTAGCCTTGTAGATATGCAGCCAAACGTACACTAAACTGAACTACTTAGCTCTGATTGTCCTAATGCCCAAATGAACATTAAGTTTAAATCCATTAAATATTTTCCAGGTGCATCAAAAAGTGTTGGGGCCAATTCAAATTATTCGGCTGCTTTAACGCAACAAATGTTAAAAGCGCATATAGTGAATGCACTGCAACAGATTGTCGCGTGAATGGACCATTACTGTTGGCTTTCCTTAGAAAGCAGCAACCGTTGAGTAGAAAACCTGTCCTCTGCCTTCCCCTGTAGAGAAAGACTCTTGTCTTTGTGGACACTTTGAATTTGCTTCTCTGTGTGGAAGTAGTGATCTCTCTGCAGACACCTGCCACACCCCTGCTGAAGCTCCAGTCAGCATTAAGCAAGAGCTTTGATCTTTGCTAGAATATTATACTGTGATGAGGGATGTTACTCTTTATTGAAGATTTTCTTTAATTATTTGTATAAATTATGACATCTCAAGTAACTGTAAACCAGATATTTTTTTTTCTGTGCCCAAGTTGTTTTTATACAGGTTTTCCATAAAGCGCACCTGTCATAAAAAAAATGGCACATCTCGGCATTACCAAACTTGTTACTGAATGCCGGAACAATGACTGTATCTGATTGGCAAATCAGCAGTGACCCTTAACCTTTGCCGAAAAAACAATTGAAAAAATTGACCTTAGGCTGGGAGGTGCTGACAGTGCCACCCACCACTCAAATTTTATTGGATTCAACAGGAGTCTGATGCAGTTCAAGCAGTGTTTGACTAGATTGAGAATTTAACCCCCCCCGGTGGTATTCCCGAGTGTAGCTCGGGGTTAACTTTCAGTACCAGAAGCGGTAACCCTGAGCTGCACTTGGGATTACCCTGCAGCATTGCTCAGGGATTCCCTCTTGCACCTTGTCCTGCACTCCCATGTCCCCCCTGCAGCGTCCCCGGCCATCTCCTCCGGCCGATGCCGGCATCCGTCTTCCGGGTTCTGTTCCCTGCGAGCGTTGGGACGTACAGGGGACGGAACCGGTGGGAAATTCAAAAATGTTAAAACATGACATTCACTAAATACACTAAAATCTTATAGTAGTACATTACTGTATCAAACCATTTCACATTTTGTCCTGTGCCCTGCCTGCATTTTTAGTGTTCTTTCTGCCTGGAAACTGAGAAACGTCCATGGCTTCCAAAAAGCGTCCCTTTAGCTCAAAAGTGGTTTTAGACCAGCTAGAGAACAGCGATAGTAAATTAGAACCACTTGCAGAAGTGAGTGATAATGATTCGTGGGGAAATTCGCCATCAGACACTGAAAACGATTTTGCAACTAAGCTCAGTGATGTACGAATTTGGCGCTCTATTTTAAATTTCAGTGTTTTTGGTTTGATTATATTATTGAATAAAATTTATTATTATATTATTTTTTATGATTTATTATATTATAATTTATGATTTTGTGTTTCAAATTTTATCATACCCGGGACTCTTGTTCGGACAGATTTCAGTGAGTTATTCCTAAAAATTACAGGCCTACAATAAAAAAGCAACATATTTCCATGCAAAAAAATTTACCACTTTGAGCAGAGAAATATTGACATAATCGCTAGGGAGGTTAACAATCTAAAATGTTTTTCTTTTTTTAATGGACAGATTGTGGAAATGAACATTACTTTTTACTAAATAGCGGATAAAGCAGAATTAAAGCAGCTTATACGCTCATCATTCCCTGTGTGTGTGTGTGTGTGTGTGTGTATATATATATATATATCCTGCTAAATAAAAAATAAAGGAACACTTTTTAATCCGTGTATAATATTAGTTAAGTAGCAGAGGAGGTTGTTTCAGCTGCTTTGGTGTTAGTGAAATTAACTACAGGTACACTGGATGGACAACAATGAGACGACCCCCACAACAGGAATGGTTTTACAGGTGGAGGCCACTGACCTTTTTTTCTGACTGTTTTTCATTAGTTTTGCATTTGGCTAGGGTCAGTGTCACTACTGGTAGCATGAGGCAATACCTGGGCCCTACAGAGGTTGCACAGGCAGTCCAACTCCTCCAGGATGGCATATCAATACGTGCTTTTGCCAGAAGGTTTGCTGCATCTCCCAGCACAGTCTCAAGAGCATGGAGGAGATTCCAGGAGACAGGCAGTTACTCTAGGATAGCTGGACTGGGCCGTGGAAGGTCCTTAACCCATCAGCAGGACCAGTATCTGCACCTTTGTGCAAGGAGGAACAGGATGAGCACTGCCAGAGCCCTATAAAATGACCTCCAGCAGGCCACTGGTGTGAATGTCTCTGACCAAACATTCAGAAACAGACTTCATGAGGGTGGCCTGAGGGCCTGACGTCCTCTAGTGGGCCCTGTGCTCACTGCCCAGCACCATAGAGCTCGATTTGCCATTGAACACCAGAATTGGCAGGTCCGCCACTGGCGCCCTGTGCTTTTCACAGATGAAAGCAGGTAAACCCTGAGCACATGTGACAGACATGAAAGGGTCTGAAGAAGACATGGAGAACGTTATGCTGCCTGTAATATCGTTCAGCATGACCGTTTGGTGGTGGGTCAGTGATGGTCTGGGGAGGCATATCCATGGAGGGATGCACAGACCTCTACAGGCTAGACAATGGCACCCTGACTGCCATTAGGTATCAGGATGAAATCCTTGAACCCATTGTCAGACCCTACTCTGGTGCAGTGGGTCCTGGGATCTTCCTGGTGCACGACAGTGCCCGGCCTCATGTGGCGAGAGTATGAAGGCAGTTCCTGGAGCATGAAGAAATTGATACAGTTGAATGGCCCCCATGCTCGCCTGACCTAAACCCAATAGAACACCTCTGGGATATCATGTTTCGGTCCATCCGACACTGCCAGGTTGCACCTCAGACTGTCCAGGAGCTCAATGATGCCCTGGTCCAGATCTGGAAGGAAATACCCCAGGACACCATCCGTTGTCTCATTAGGAGCCTGCCCTGATGTTGTCAGGTATGCTTACAACCATACGAAGTACCATATTGAGTTGATGCAATGAAATTCCAGCAAAATAAACTAGTGTGCTGCATATTTTTTTCACTTTGATTTTTGGGGTGTCTTTGATGGAAATTAAATTTGTTAACCTACAGAGGACTGAATTCAAACGATAAGGCATCCTTACGTTCCTAACACATTACCCAGTCCATATCAGTAGAGATATCCAGCATGATATTTTTCCCCATTGAGATCTGATGTGTTTTTAAAGTGTTCCTTTAATTTTTTTTGAGCAGTGTATATATCTTTGGAGATATTTAACTGGGACACTTCATGAAAACAGACATTGAATTAAAGCAAGTCGCCAAAAAATAAAAAAAATAAAAATGTATCATGTATAAAACCATGCAGCAGTACCAGTGTATACCTGGAATATAACACATTAAATTGAAATAAAATTTAATTTAGATGGTGTAAAATGACAATATTTAGTTCACCTAAAGATGCTTGACCACATCTGCAACAACTTCTTGCTGTTCAACTATTTTGTTTGGCAGAGCTCCAGCATTTCCTGGTAGCCTTAAAATGGTTCTAAAGTCAAATTATTTTTTGCATTAATGCATTTCGTGCATTAAGGTAAAAATCTCCCCACTAATTGCCCTCCCCCCCCCCGAACAAAAAATCCCTAAACACTCACCTGCCTCTTCTCACCGTTCCAGCGCTGTCTCGACTGCAGCACCATTCTCCTCTCTTCCTGGTCACAGAAGACACTGAAAGCAGCAGGAGCCTACGACCTGTCAGTCAAAATCCTGTAAGGGGGTATGTGACTTAACAATGCTGTGTGCATCCATGGATGCACACTGCCCAGCTCATGGGTGCCCTTATCGCAGGGCACTTGGAGAAAGAAAGAGTGGACAGCATCGGCAGGGGACTTCCAGAAAAGGAGGTAAGGGACTGCTCTTTGCAATATTAGTGTATAGAGCAGGTAAGCATAACCTTTGGGACATACAGTGCCTTGAAAAAGTATTCATACCGCTTGTAATTTTCCACATTTTGTCATGTTACAAACACAAACATAAATGTATTCTATTGGGATTTTGTGATAGACAGGGGCGGACTGACAACTCATGGGGCCCCCAGGCAATAGGATATCATGGGGCCCCTGTGACCACACCAAACAAAGTCCCACCTACATATTGCAATGCCCACATTACATGCGTTTGTTATAGAATTTCTCTACATTATGTTCAAAATATGAACACAATATAAGAGGTGCAACAAATTTTAATAAAGTAAACAAAAAATAAAAAAAATTAAAAGCTCTGACTAGCATCTTACAAAAGCATTAAAGAGCTAAGTTCAGGTAATCTCTTGGCAAATCTGTCACCTGTCCCACTGTAAATTACTGATCACCTCCATTACCAGTATAGTGTCTGTAGCTGCATATATTCCAGTATATATCTAGTTTGTGGACGCTATAACTTTCACATAAACCAATCCGTATACACTTATTGGGATTTATTTTTAGCAAAGCCATGTAGCAGAATATGTATGCAGCGCTAAATAGAACATGTTTTTTAATGTAGCAGAATATCTTCTGTTTTTTTTGGTCTAAATTTATGAAGACATTTTATAAATTTTTTTTTTTATTGGATATGTTTTATAGCCCAAATTAGAAGTTTTTTTTTAAATTTATAGTAAATAGTCCACCTGTGTGTAATTTTAATCTCAGTAGAATCACAGCTGTTCATTGAAGCCCTCAGAGGTTTGTTAGAGAACTTTAGTGAACAAACAGCATCCTGAAGGCCAAGGAACACACCAGACAGGTCAGAGATAAAGTTGTGGAGAAGTTTAAAGCAGGGTTAGGTTATAAAAAAAAAAAAATATCCCAAGCTTTGAACATCTCACGGAGCACTGTTCAGTCCACTATCCGAAAATGGGAAAGAGTATGGCACAACTGCAAACCTATCAAGACATGGCCGTCCACCTAAAGTGACAGGCCAGGCAAGGAGATTATTAATCAGAGAAGCAGTCAAGAGGCCCATTGTAACTCTGGAGGAGCTGCAGAGATCCACAGCTCAGGTGGGAGAATCTGTCCACAGGACAACTATTAGTCGTGCACTCCACAAATATGGCCTTTATGGAAGAGTGGCAAGAAGAAAGCCATAAGAAGTCCTTGGTAACCAAAAGGTTCATGGTAACTCTGGAGGAGTAGCTCAGGTGGGAGAATCTGTACACAGGTCAACTATTAGTTGTGCACTCCACAAATATGGCCTTTATGGAAGCATGGCAAGAAGAAAGTCATTGTTGAAAGAAAGCCATAAGAAGTCCATGGTAACCAAGAGGCCCATGGTAACTCTGGAGGAGCAGCTCAGGTGGGAGAATCTGTACACAGGTTAACTACTAGTCGTGCACTCCACAAATCTGGCCTTTATGGAAGAGTGTCAAGCCATTGTTGAAAGAAAGCTGTAAGAAGTCCCGTTTGCCGTTTGTGAGAAGCCATGTTGGGGCACAGCAAACATGTGGAAAAAGGTGCTCTGGTCAGATGAGACCAAACATGCACTTTCTAGCCTAAAAGCAAAACGCTGTGTGTGGCGGAAAACTAACACTGCACGTCACGCTGAACACACCATCCCCACCATGAAACGTGGTGGGCAGCATCATGTTGTGGGGATGCTTTTCTTCAGGGAGAGGGAAGCTGATCAGAGTTGATGGGAGGATGGATGCAGTCAAATACAGGGCAATTTTATAAGAAAACTGTTAGTGTCTGCAAAGACTTGAGACTGGGGCTGAGGTTCACCATCCAGGAGGCCAACGACCCTAAACTTACAGCTAGAGCAACAATGGAATAGTTTAGATCAAATCATATTCATGTGTTAGAATGACACAAAGTCCAGACCTAAATCCTATTGAGAATCTGTGGCAAGATGTGAAAATTGCTGTTCACAGATGTTCTCCATCCAATCTGACAGAGCTTGAGCTATTTTGCAAAGAAGAATGGGCAAACATTTCACTCTCTAGATGTGTAAAGCTGGTAGAGACATACCCATAAAGACTTGCAGCTGTAATTGCAGGGAAAGGTGGTTCTACAAAGTATTGACTCGGGGGCTGAATACAAATGCACGCCACACTTTTCAGATGTTTATTTGTAAAAAATGTTGAAAGCCATTTATCATTTTTCTTCCACTTCACAATTATGTACCACTTTGTGTTGGTCTATCTCATAAAATCCCAATAAATACATTTACATTTTTGGTTGCAACATGACAAAATGTGGAAAATTTCAAGGGGTATGAATACTTTTTCAAGGCACTGTATATAACACTGATATCTGTACACTGGTATGTGTACACTGGCTGCTGTTTCCTAAATATAACACTGATGTTTGTACATTGAGTGCCACTCAGTGTACAGATATCAGTGTGCACTCAGTGTATATAGAAATCAGGGCTATTAGATATAGGGTCGGGATAGGGAATCGCACTCCGTGTACGGACATCAGTGTTCTATATAGGGAATAGCAGTCCCTGTACAGATATCAGTGTTTAACACTGATATCTGTACACTGAGCAGTCCCTATATATAACACGGATATCTCTGCACTGACTGCTATTCCTTGTATGTAACACTGATGTCTGTACACTACGTACTAGTCCCTATATAAAACACTGATATCTGAACACTGAGTGGCACTCGGTGTACAGATGTCTGTTATGTATAGGGAAAGGCACTAAGTGTACAGATATGAGTGTCATATAACACTGATATCTGTACACGTGCTATTCCCTATATCTAACACTGACATCTGCGTGCCACTCCTATGCAGAACACTGATATCTGTACACGGGCATATAGAAATCAGGGTTATTAGGGGCAGGATAGACACTGGGCAGGATAGAACACAGTGCTGTCACTTGGCTGGTTATTGCACATACGCCGACCTGCTGTAGGTAGCCAGGCCAGCTCAGCGAGGATTCCAGAGTCCAGTCTGCCTACTCCCTCCAGCTTCCAAGTTCAGCACCCATGGCAGGGATGTGGACCCGCCCCTGCGCTGAATCCCCAAGGAGGAGAGGTGACCGAAGCCTTTTTCAAGGCACTGTAGTAAAGTGCTTCAACACTCCAAGAATGACTTTGAATGTATTTGAGTATGTATGACAAAGCTTGGGTTCTTCTGCAACTATTTGCAGGTTTTTTTTTTTTTGTGTAATATAGTTGCTTTAAAAATGTCATCATTTTGGATTTCCCATTTTCTCTAGTCACTGTTGTAGATCATATATTTCAATGTATTTTAAATTTGTTGTTTTGTATGTGACAGATAGGAAAGCTTCGCAGTGAGCTGGAGGTTGTAAATGGGAATGTGAAAGTAATGTCTGAGATGTTGACTGAATTGGTTCCACAGAAAGCAAATCAGTCAGATTTGGAATTGCTGCAGGTAAGTGAAATTAAAGTAAAATTTGTTGACTCTGAGTGTACCAAAAACTGTCGCCATGTTTTCTTTTTGAAATTACAATTTTTCCCTTTTTTCCCCTTAACATTTGTTGCATAGCATTTCTCAGGGCAGTTTTGTGATAGTGACAACAATGGACACCATGCCTGCTTAACCTTCTCAGCTGTTTGGACAGGATTGCAGTCTGAAAAGGTTCAGCAAGCTAACATGAGCTTGCTTCTCTCTTGTGCAGCTGGTTTAGGCTTTTCTGTAAAATGATCTGGGTGGCTTTGGCTCCACCCAGTTACTCTTGTGTGACCCATAGGGTGTTGCTCCCCCTATGCTTCCAGGCTTTCCACATCTCCTGGGAGCCCAGGGCCACAACAAATGATAACAGGATGGTGAGCAAGAGAATATCAAAGCATATCTTTTCCCCAGCTCTTCTGTAGAGTGTGAACCCAAAAATGCTCTGCTCTGGGCACTTACGGTTCACAGTTGTTAAACTGCCAGCTGAAAATCTGGGTAAGCAGCTGACCTGCAATCCTGTGATCATTTTCCTGGAGCAAAGGACAGGGTAGGCTTTTAGGAATAGGCTCATGATGTTTCCTAAAGAGTACGTCACTTTCCCAATACTATTACATAAGGGACTTGTTAGCACTAGCATGATAATGCCATTCCTGAATAACCTATAGATGGAAATTTTTCTAATTAATAGAAGTTGATGTATGTGAATGTTTTTCTTGCACGATAATTTAATGCAATACATAGGTGTATTAAATGTCAAATTATTCACGTGAATAATATTGCATTTGGAAAAACTATAAATACCAGCTTTTAGAGTATTTTTAAAGTGGTCATGTGCTCTTTATTTGTGGGTTGTGAGGGTTGGGGTTGAAGCCGCCTTGTGATAATTGAACGCTTTGAGTCCCTATCAAATAGTATAAGGTGTGTGACTGTCAGTCTGTGATATCACAAGCTGACTACTGAAAGTTCATTGGGCTTTTGCACGGTGTCATGCTGTTCCCTATCAAAAGTAAACTGAGCATAACCCATGGATAGTATTGACAGAAAAAAAGGAAATTGCAGAAAACATAGACAGCTGGGTTACTGGGTATTTTAAGTTATCTTGCGTGAAAATTACTTATACTAAGCATAATTATTCAGAGCAGATATAATTTTAAATATTGGATTATTTGCAGCTACCTTAAGGTGATTGGACCCTGGCAAAATAAGAAGGCTGCAAGGACATCCAACTACTATACCTGACCCACTCTCAACTATCCTCAGTTGTTTGCTAGTGTTCTTAGGTGATGATCCTTTTCTCTTTACTGACAGAAGATTACCTTCTTCTATGCAGGTTTCTCTTTCTGAATGATATTCCACAAAGTGATTATTTTATCAAGATTCTTGCTGCGCCATGGATACTGTGGTTCCTAATGCAGTTTCAGACTAGTTGACGTGTTGGCAGAGACTTGGGAGGCCGTACCCTAACCCTGCCAGATTAAAGATATGGGGCTGCCCTGCCTCTTCCTCTTTCTGGTTGGGACATTGGACTGGCATCATCTCTTAGGCCATCTTGTCTATGTGGGCATAGTATAGCTGTTGCTGCACTACCACCTGGGTTATTGCAACCTGTTCTGGGCACCGAGACATTCTCCCTTCCCTCTCTCCTGGCATTCCACCTTCCTTCTCAACTGCTGCAGAGGTTGTGAGTACCTTCTGGGGCTGATATTAACAAGCCTGGTAGATCTTTAAGTGAACTTTCACTGTTCTTCCTTGCTTTAGAACATGTTGGTCCTTACCCCTCCCTTTATGGCATTTGCAATTTTTTTGTTACTAAGCTTGCTAAAGATTCTGCTTTTCTTGCTTAGGCAATAATTAAGCCCCAGCTGTCTGCAGTCTGTTGGCATACCCTGGTCATAGAAGTCCAGGAAGCTTCAAGCAATAAAAACCACACTGCTGATGCGCTAGCACATTGCACATGTGCTACTGTGCTTGGAAGAATTTCTGGGCTTATACCAGTCAGAGAGAGCAGGGTCATGGATGTGCTGCTTTGACCTTCCCTCCTGAATCTGTCTTGAACTAATGTACGTATATGCACTATATTGCCAAAAGTATTATGACCCCCCTCCAAATCATTCAGATGTTCCAATCACCTACATGGCCACAGGTGTATAAAATAAAGCACCTAGGCATGCAGACTGCTTCTACAAACATTTGTGAAAGAATGGGTCGCTCTCAGGAGCTCAGTGAATTCAGACGTGGTACCGTGACAGGTTGCCACCTGTGCAATAAGTCCATCCGTGAAATTTCTTTGCTACTAAATATTGCATAGTCAACTATTAGTAGTATTATAACAAAGTGGAAGCAACTGGGAACAGCAGCTCAGCTACGAAGTGGTAGGCTACATAAAATAACAGAGCAGGGTCAGCACATGCTGAAGCACAGAAGTCGCCAACTGTCTGCAGAGTCAATAGCTAAACACCTTCAAACTTTGTGTGGCCTTCAGATTAGCACAACAACAGTGCGTAGAGAACTTCATAAAATGGGTTTCCATGGCCGAGCAGCTGCATCCAAGCCTTGCATCACCAAGTGCAATGCAAAGCTTTGGATGCAGTGGAGTAAAGCATACCGCCACTGAATTTTAGAGCAGTGGAGACGTGTTCTCTGGAGTGACGAATTACACTTCTGTCTGGCAGTCCGATGGACATGTCTGGGTTTGGCGGTTGCCAGGAGCATGGCACTTGGCTGACTGCATTGTGCCAAGTGTAAAGTTTGGTAGAGGGGAGATTTTTGTGTGTTGTTTTTCAGGGGTTGTGCTTGGCCCCTTAGTTCCAGTGAAGGGAACTCTTAAGGCGTCAGCATACCAAGACATTTTGGACAATTTCATGCTCCTAACTTTGTAGGAACAGTTTGGGGATGGCCCCTTCTTGTTTCAACATGACTGCGTACCCGTGCACAAAGCAAGGTCCATGACATGGATGAGTGAGTTTGGGGTGGAGGAACTCGACTGGCTGCACAGAGTCCTGACCTCAACCCAATAGAACACCTTTGGATTGAATTAGACTGCAAGCCAGGCCTTCTTGTCCGACATCAGTGCCTGACCTCACAAATACGCTTCTGGTGAAACATTCCCGTAGACACATTCCTAAACCTTATGGACAGCCTTCCCAGAAGAGTTGAAGCTGTTATAGCTGCAAAGGGTGGGCCAACTCAATATTAAGCTCTACAGACTAAGACTGGGATGCCATTAAAGTTCATATGCGTGTAAAGGCAGGTGTCCCAATACTTTTGGCAATGTAGTCCTTGGGAAGTGCTGGTGACCATAAAGACAAAGGAGCAACTTAAATTTTTCCGATTGTCTCTATGGTGTATCAAATCAGAAGCGATGTGGATGTTGTAATTTCTGGTTTTTGTCTTTTGCCCTTAAGCAGCCAATCAAATCGATCTTTGTTTTATCAGCTCCTTTAAAGGGCAGAGAAGAGATCTGGGATCTAATAGACCCCAGATTTCTCAGTAAAGAGAGCTGTCACTGCCGATGCTATCACAGCATAGTCGTTGCTCATTCCTTGTGATAGCAATAATGAAACAAAGTATAGAGACAGTGTAAAAAATATATTTAAATAAAATAACAAAAATAATTTAAACTGCACCCCCATGCTCATGCTCAAATGTGAACGTACATGTAGGTCCCGCACGGATGGGTACCCTGTAAAGGCTTTTAATGCGGGGGGGGGGGGGGGGGGGAGTTATACACAATCCGGTTGCTGCAGCCAATGAGATTGTGTATAATACTGATAACCAGACAAGTGTGTGCAAAAAATGGCTTTGGCGGCAAAAGGGCTAATTTCCTCTGGTGATCCAGCCAGTAAGTCTGTTGTTTTTCAATAGAGCAAGCTCCTCTGCAAATATAGCAGTTAGATTGTTGAGACAAACCATTTACCACTGACAGGAGTACTTACAATGATCAGGTTTTATTTATGTAAATCCTTTATTCCCCCTCCAGAAAAATCTGTTGCTGTAACTGCAATGTGAGCTTTAGTTTGGTTTCAGTTTGTTAGTGTATCTAAATCTGCTAGTCCATCAGCAGATTCCTCGCCACAGACTGACAATGCTGTTGTCCATAGGTGCCCCAATGCTCCTTCATCCAGAATAGGGGTACACTAATATAAGGGGAGTGTTACTGGCCAGATCACTGGTTGGAAACCAGGAGAAAAAAGAAATCTAAGTAGCCACCACATCTAATGCTTGGTAAGCTGCAATATAGTACATTTTTGGTTTTGACTTTATTACCAGTTTAAAGTGTCACCTATGGAGATTTTTAGGTAGCATATTTTGTCGCCATTGCACAGGCGTACACAATTTTACAGCATGGGTATCTATGCAGCACAACATCTTTTTTATATTTCACCAATTTGGGTGTTCTATTTGTGTACACTAAAATTCATTAAAATGTATTTTCCCTAAAAAAAAATTTGCATTTGACAAATCACTGTGCAAATATTGTGCGACATAAAAAATTGCAACATCCACCAATTTATTTTCCAGGGACTTTGCTTTCAGAAAATATATATTGTTTGGAATTTGCTAAGTAATTTTCCAGCAAAATTTTTTTTTTTTTCATGTATGTGAGAAATGTTAGTGTTACCCCCCCCCCCCAGCAAGTGCAGTGTCAGTAGGTCATTGTCACTTGATATATTACACACAAAACCGCAGTGTTCACAGAATCAGGCCTGATCTCTGCTAGCACTTGCCGGTAAATTTCTTTTGTAGTGGTTCAAGCAGTCCCTGACAGCCAGGTGCTCTTTTTTTTTTTTTTTTTTTTCCCCCGTGCGTCGCACTAGGTACCTATAAATTTAGTGACCAAGATGTCAATGGAAAGGTACTCTAGTGAAGAGGCCTACAGGATTCTGAGCATGTCAGATGAGAGCGAAAGGGAAGACTCACTGACGCAATCAGCCTCAGAATATGAACCTGTAGACAGCAGCGGCACCCTGACACAGCTCAGACGATGGAGAAGAGGCCAATAGCCATTTGACTGCACTGACAGTTGGAACACCTTGCCTGCCGTTGTGGCCATCTTCTTAATGCAAAAGCTTTTTATACATGCTTCGTTTGTGAGTAAGTTTTTGTCTTTTATACCTTTTGAATAAACCTTGGATAATCACTAGGTCGGTGTCACCTGTTTACTCTTTATCTGATGGAGAAGAGGTCCCTGCTAAGATCAGGCGTACCCGACCCCGTTCCCAGGTTGCTGAGATGTTACAATCGCATGATGACTCTCATATGCAGCAAAGTGCCAGTACTAGTGCCGGTCTAGCCTTTGGTGAACTGGCAAGCACCAGCAGCTTAGTACATCCTGGTCTTTCACATACCAGCACTGCAGTATCACTTGGTGATGTGGCAAGTCCCGTAAGTCCAGTACAAGCTGGTGCAGTGGCGAGCACAAGTAGTGTCCCGCAGCCACCAAGAATTCGCACACAGGCCCCTAGAGCCCCTAGTATCCTTCGGCATGTGCTTGCAAATCCCGATTGGCAGCCCACAAATTCTGCAGCACCCGTACTTCCCCCATTCACTGCCAAACCCGGAATTCAGGTGGAGTGGAAACAGCAAATTGAAATATTCCCCTTGATTTTTTGGAGCTGTTTTTCACAGAAGATCTGTATGCATTGATTGTGGATCAAAGCAATTTATGCGCACAACAATTCATCGCCGCTAACCCAAATTCAAACCTTGCCTGACCACTCGTATGGACATCCATTACGGTTTCCAACTTTAATGGTTTTTTTTGGGCCTAACCTTCAAGTTGGGCATTACTAAAAAAAAAATGAATTGCGGTTGTATTGGTCTACAGACCCGATTCATCATATGCCTGTGTTCTCTGCTGCCATGGCCAGGCATAGATAAGATAATGTATTTGATGCATTTCAATGACAACCCACTCTGTCGTCCTCAGGGTGACCCTGAATTTGACTGCCTTCACAAAATTTGGCCCTTCGTAAATCACCTTAACCAAAAATTTGCAGATGTCTATACTCCCCAGCAAAACATCTGCGTTGATGAGTCCCTCATTAATTTTTCTGGCCGCCTTGCATTCAAATAATTTCTCCCCAGCAAGAGTGCCACGTATGGGGTCAAGATGTTTAAGACCTGTGAGAGGGCAACAGGCTATACGTATAAGTTTCTGATTTACGAGGGAAAAGAGAGTCACGTGGAGCCCCCCTGATGCCCAGACTACATGGGGAGCAGTGGCAAGATAGTTTGGGACTTGGTGTCCTCTTTTTTTCCATGTGTGTTACCACTTATACGTGGACAATTTTTATTCAAGTGTGCCACAATTTAGACAGTATTACTATTATTATACAGGATTTATATTGCGCCAACAGTTTGCTCAGCACTTTACAATATAACGGGAGACAATACAGTTCAATACAAGAGGGATTTGAGGGCCCTGCTCCTTGGAGCTTACAATCTAGGAGGGAGGGGCTAGTGGTACAAAAGGTAGTAACTGTGAGGGATGGACTGGTTGGAAAAGTAGAAGATTCCAGACATTTATACAATCATGGAATTGGCGCATGTGGCGCCATGCGACCTAATCACCGGGACTTCCCCCAACAGCTTGTAAATACCTGTCTTAGAAAGGGGGAAAAAGCCTGCTTGAGAAATGAGGATGTCATTCAGCTTCAGCACTGACTTGTTTATTCTGACAGCAACTGGGTCTTGCTCTCAGAATATACATAAGTAGGTGTGTGCAGTGCTGTTGGATGAGATTTTTTACCCGCAGTTAAAAAAAAGAGAATATATGCCGAAGCATGAGGGCCTGGGGTGGCCAGTGGGTGGATGGCCCCTATGCTTCCACATATATTTTTTATAATATTTGTTGGCACATTTCATGTGTGCCCACCATTAGTGGATGGACTCAGGGAGGTATATTCTAATGGTGGGCATACCGCACAATTTTTCTGGCAGAGATTTCTTCTTTTTTTATGCAGCCTGTGGGCTGAATGAAAAAAGAACATGGCATATACACCCAACAAGGACCAGCGACGACTGGTACTGGGCTTTGAGTGGTTATACCAGGATGATGCCCCCCCCCCCCTGCCCTTCTGCCTTCCACGGCCTTCTCGTGACATCGAGGGAACCTGAGAATGCAGTCGGTGTTTCTGCCAGCTGCCCATATAGCTGATTGGAGACCGGAATGGTGCCAATCATCTCTATGGAAATCAGAAGCTACAAGCATTTCTTCAGTTTCGCAGGATATAAACAGCGCCATTTGTAAATTGGGAAAGCATCTGATCACACCGATCTTGGTGAGATTAGATAATGTATGGGCAGAGGAGATATCTAGAGTCTTAGACCCCGGATTTCTCAAAAATAATATGACAGTGTTATAGAAGATATCTGCGTTTCCCTGTAATAGCATTAAAAGTGATAAAAAAAAAAAAAAAAAGGGACAGTGTAAAAATAATTGTGCAAAAGCAAGATAACTTTAAAGACGAAAAAAAAAAAAAAGCTTTTTTTGCCCTCCCCTAACACACGCGCACCTGCGTGCGTGAGCGT